CTTGGCCGGGAACCTAGCCCCCTGATTGGAGCAGGCTAGGATCTGCATAGTCCATTGTCTCTTGGAGCGAAGCTCGATGGTTGTCTCTGGACTTGTCTGGACTTGATACACTACACAGTCTCAGCAAGTTCAGACCCCATTAGCCTATACTTGAAGTTGGGATTTTTTTTTTGTCACAATGTGCATCACCTTACAGTTACCAACACTGAACTTCATTTCCCACATTGTCGCCCCACTCGCCCAGTTCGTGGGGGTCCTCTTGGAGCTCTTCACAGTCAGCCCTGGTTTTCACCATCCTGAATAATTTTACACTGCTGGTTTTTGTCCTTTTGTAGACATTTTATGGTTTCATCTGAACATTGTATGCTGCTGTCTGAGACTGTACCTTCCCCCTGCCTCTGTGCTGCCCCCGGGCTCATCCTGACCAAAACAGGTGAGCATAGCCCCAGCTCAGACTTTTGGGGTGAGAACCATCCCAACAGCTGCCACAGCCCTATGAACACTGCCACCACCCAAGCTGGAGGAGGCTTGGTGCCTCCAGATTGCTGAACAGCCCCTTTAAGAAGAAAGAAGAAGAGGCGATTGGAATTTTACCCTGCCCTTCACTCGGAGTCTTTGGTCCTTTCCGCACTAGACCTTAAATCCTGGTTCAACCCTCTGTCCGAATTTACATTCTACACTATATGTGAGTTCACCTCTGTAATTATCTCGGGGTATTTTTACATTCTACACTAGAAGAAGAAGAAGAAGAGATTGGATTTATACCCCGCCCTTCACTTGGCGTCTCAGAGCGGCTTATAAACTCCTTTCCCTTCCCCTCCCCACAACAGACACCCTGTGAGGTGGGTGGGGCTGAGAGAACTCTGACACAAACGGCTCTTTTTCAAGGACAGCTGTGCCAGAGCTTGTGACTGACCCAAGGTCACATCAGCAGGTGCAAGTGGAGGAGTGGGGAATCAAACCCGGTTCTCCCAGATTAGAGTCCGCACACTTAACCACTACACCAAACTGGCTCTACATGTGAGTTCACCCCTATAATTATCTCGGGGTATTTTTTGTTTCCACATTACATTGAGGTCACCCCGGTTTCACCCCACACTTGTCCCGGGATAAACGGATGCTGTTCTAACTAGGGATAAATGCAAGGTATTGTGTTGCGAGTTGAACTCTGATAAAACCAGGGATGAGATCCAAGTGCGGAAAGGACCTTAGAGTGGCTTACAATCCCCTTCCCTTCCCCTCCCCACAACAGACACCCTGTGAGGTAGATGGGGCTGAGACAGTTCTGAGAGAACTGTCCTTGAGAGAACAGCTCTGAGAACTTGTGACTGACCCAAGGTCACCCGGCAGCTGAGTGTGGAGGAGTGGGGAATCAAGCCCAGTTCTCCCCAATTAAAGTCCGCGCTCTTAACCACTACACCAAACTGGCCCTTGGGGCTATTGACAGCAGTTGTCACTGGCCATGACATCAGGGGAAAGAGGGGTGGATGTGGGGATGGGGAGGGGACCGCACAGCAGTGGAAGCCGCCAAGGAAAGACTGCCTGCCCTCCCTCAAGAGACTGCTATACGGCAGGAGGTTAGAGTGGGTGGCTGGGCCTGCGTGTGTCTAAACAGGGCCACTATGAGGGGCCAAACAGCAGTCCAAGGAAGATTCTCCAGGACCTCTCCGGGCTGAGGAGGACAGGCCAAGGAGGAGGAATGGCACAGTCAACCCCCCCCCCTGGCCCCGCCTGTTGTCAGCTAGCTGCCATAGAGGATTGGGAAGCCGTAGGTTCCCCCCCCTCTCGCCGGGCATCTGCGCATGCCCTATCTCCCCTGTGTACAGTCTTCTCTCATGCATTCCTGTCTGTAAACGCTCGGCAACGCTTATCTGCAAGATTAACAGGTGTGTGGGGAGAGCTGCTTTGCTAACTGTATAATGAACTGCACCGTGTGAAGCTGTAGTTGTTTAGGTTTCGGGACCGTTGCTTCTCAGGCCTTTGAGCGCGCAACCTGCAGTCCGCCCGCTCGGCGGGAATGGAGATTATTGGTTCTGGTCCTGTTTGAATGTATTACATTATTCCTTGCCCACCCTGACCCAGGCATTCTGGACAGTCAACTTGTTCCTGCTCTATCATGGCTTTAATGAAATACTACTTTGCTTAAACGTGTATTGGATTAATCGCTGTGAGGGGGACCGGACACCTGTACATCTATGCCCTTTTGCCGGCTCCAGGGGTCAGCCCTGAACCATAGAGATGGGAGGCGGGAAGGGGAAGATGAGGTCGACACTGACTCTCTTGAGCCCCCACTCCACCCCGCCACCTGGAGAATGTTTTAAATAAATAAAATGTGGTCACAGTAGCATATTAAATGGCAGCGTTGAATGCATTTATGGGAGCAGTTGGTGTGCTGGCTCTAGTAACAGTAAACCGTGCTTTCAACATTCTTTAAAGAATGCTTATCATTGGAATGAATGCAGAAGTTGGATAGCAAAGTCCTGAGTTTACGCACAGCTGGGGAAAGGGGCTGTTACCGTCCAGTGTCTTGCTCAATGTGTGCCTCATACCAGCCTTGGCATCTCTTGAATTGAGGACTTGGACGACGACATGCTTTAGCACACGTTTATTGTACTTAACACAGACAAAGACTAACTCTAATGGCCCGACAGGGCCAACTATATACATATCCACCCAGCGCCCCCCATTCCCACTGGAGGGTTTAAATGTCCTGCCAAAGTGGCTATTGGTTGGGGCTGGAGGATCCAGGATCCGAAGTTTCCATTGTTCTAGGATCCAAGCTCTTGCCTGTGCCGGTCCCTGGCCAGCAAGGCATCACAGACCCCGATAAACGTCAGCTGTGAGACAGATCTCTCGTTCCTTGCCCTGTTCAGCTCACACGAGAAGATCCAGCTCCATCCGGAGAAACGTCAGAGGCCTGCTTCCTCCGTGGCTACTGCCTGGCTTTTGCAAGAGCGCTTATCTGCACAAACAGCATTTTTATTTCTTCTGTGGCTTTGCAGATGCTGCCAGAGGTATTTAAAGCCACTTGTAAAATACCTCAGATAAAGTAGCTTGTTCAAATGCCTCAGATAGCGGAGAGCTATTCCTGGATAGCCTAGGGTGGCCCAGTCTCGTCAGATCTCGGAAGCTAAGCAGGGTTGGCCTCGGTTAGTATTTGGATGGGAGACCTCCGAGGAATTACCAAGGTTGCTACACAGAGCCAGGCAATGGCAAGCCACCTCTGAACGTCTCTTGCCTTGAAAACCCCACGGGATCTCCATATCTCAGCTGTGACTTGAATGGACTCTTTGCAAAGAACATTGCCACCTTTGTCATGTCTCAGTGGCTGCAGAACTAGTGCCGGGAAATGCACAGGTTGTCCCTGCTCTTTTGGCAACTGTTGAACTGGAATTCTCATCCTAAAAGTTTTCTGTTAATGGGAGTGTGGTGTATTCAATCTGACAATGTATGTATGTGAACTCACTCACTGAATCAATATGTGAAGCTTTCATCCTGGGCTAGGATCCTAATCCATCAATTGTAATTGGTAGCCCAGGCAGAGCCGACCAATCACCAATAGCCAGTTCCAAGAGCGGGAACTATTGTGATTGGACCTTATCTCTACAACCTCATAGGGTGGCATTGTATAGAAGGGCGTGGCTACATTAGCCGGGAGAGTTTTAAAAGTAGAACAGCTTCAATGTAAAAGCTGTTCTGGCTGTTCATGTTGATCTGTTTGGAGTTGAGTTACAAGTTGCTGAATAAAGCTGATCTTTTGCTGGAATCACTCTCTGACTCTTTGTTAAGTAGCCGACTTAGCAGGGAGGCTGAGTGAGCACAGCGGTTCCCTGACCCCCTTTTCCACGGCTCTGGTTGGATGAGGAAGGCAGAAGAGAGATGATAATGTTTTTAGATCCCCCGACAAAGCTAAGATGAAACACACATGATGTAGGGATTGGACTATGAAAATCTTTCTTTTTATCCGGATTGGAATAGAAATCTTTTTCACGTATTATTTCCCAATCAATACTCTGTCTCATGCATCACTGACTTTTTTGCCCATGTTGGTTTAGTAGCTGCACCTTGACTTGAAAACAGCCTCAAGATGCCATCACATTCTAGTAAGATTCAGTGCCACCCACAGGATTTTCTTTGGGATTGGCTTTTGCCAACAAGAGGCCAGCCTGGAAAGTATGTTAATACTGTTGCCAACCTCCAGGTGTGTCCCAGAGATCTCCTGGAATCTCCAGCTAACAGAGATCATTTCCCCAGGAGAAAATGGTTGTGTCGAGAGGTGGGTTCTATATAATTATAACCAGGGGTCATTTCGTAGAACAAGAGGTGCAGGAGCTCATTAGCATAACTCATTTGCATATGCCACACACCCCGACATCACCGGAAGTGTGTCAGAAGGCAGCCCCCACCGCTCAGGCTCCACTGGACTGTTTTGGATTGCTAGCTATGGGGGGGGGGAATTGAAGATCGGTCCTCACAGAGGAGGGAGAGCTCGTACCTGAGGGCGGGCCGGGGGGGGGGCTCTGCAACTTACCTGGCTGCTTCTTGCTTCTCGTGGCCCGACTGAGGGCTGCTGGGAGCAGGGGGCGGGGCTTGTTGCATGTGCCCACCCCCTGGGCTCCTTACTGCCGGAACTCCACTCCTGTGCGCTCCTGCAGGAAATGACCCCTGATTATAACCCATTGAGGTCCCCCCTCCCAAATCCCCCTCCCCAGGCTCTGCTGCCCAAATCTCCAGGAATTTCTGAACTCAGAGTTGGCAACCCTACATGTAAAGCCACTGCAGGGGCCTGAACGGGGATAAATAGGACTGGAAACACCACTGGCAAGGTACAGGTTTGTTTTATTTATTTTCGTGATGGATTTGCATACTACAATAAAATCCCAAGGCATAGAGAATTTAAATATTTAAAGCAATAAAATAAATAAATATTTGTAACAAAGCAGTGCAATTAAAAATAAAACTTGTCCAGACCATCAAAACTATCCTAAATTTCAAGCCAGCAGTGAAATAAGTTAAGACAGCATTATGTATAACATAAACCACACAGGTAAAACATAAAGGAACCAGACTCTACATTTCTGCAAATTCACGAGGAGTCTAAAGAAAAGGAGAATCGCATGTGCATATTTTGCTCTTGCATGCAATATTTGCCTATTAAAACATGTAGCAAACAGTTCACACCGTGTAGATGGAATAAGCCAATGTTTATATTATTGGGCACGGCACACTGGGTTAGCAGCACCCTGGGGTAACTTAACTGATTTCCTTGGACTGCTTTTTAACACACACCCCTCCAAAAAAGCAGTTGTTCCTTTGCCAAGTGCCCTAGTTTATATTTGCAATAGACAGCACAATTGACAGAGCAGCAGAATCAGGGGAAACTGCCCTGCAAAAACTCAAGGCCGTACCCAGTGGGTTTTCTTCATTTCTAAAGCCCGAAGTTGGCCTTTGGGTGAGCATATTGGTAACAGCCATATGGATCTATCTGTATATTCTGTTCCTCAAATACACAGCAAAGTGTGAACAGGCCCTCTATTGTGACAGATTGTGGTTAACGGGGCCTGTGGCATCTTCCGACTGAGGCAAGATCCTTCCTGTTGGCTAAGGTGGTTGCAATCGCTTAGGGGGAGCAGAACTTTCCAAAGAAGAGGATGCTTTTGCTTTTATTATGCCTTATAAAGAAGAGGAAAGGGTGCTCAGCCGCAAACAAAACTGCATCCCCTTCGCTTCGGCTGGCTATATCAGCGACACTCGAAGCGGCCGCTTCCGTACCTTCTTCATTGATGTCAACAAAGCACTTGTGGAAAACCTGAGAGAGAACCAGGTCGTTTTTGTCGGACATCCCGCTGAAGTTGCTTCGGCCTGCATCGAAGGCATCCATCACCCCCAGGCGGCTCAAAGTGGACTTTAACTCATAGCGGTCTTCAAGTTGGATCCTAGGAAGATAGACCCGTACTTCAGTTTCCTCCATTTCTTCTGGGCTTGTCCACTTGGATAAAGTCTCACCAGTCAATTCTCGTTCTAGCTACAGTTATTTAAGAAAAGAGAGAAAGAGAGAGAAATCAGACGAATGATCAGTACAAAAGCTATTCAGCTCTGTCAGATTAATACTCTAAATCAGGCGCTAGTCCAGTTAGCTCAGAACATGTAACCCGAGGTCCAAGTCAGTAGCTCTTGACTGCTGACGTCAATCATTTCTAAAATTGTAGAAAGGTTACACAAGTATAACTGAACGTACACTACTTGATAAATATTCTAAATCTCACTGGATTAGTTTTTCTTTCAGTGTTTTGAGGGGTTTTTTTGATGGCACGAAATATAACTTCCCTGCTTCTGATTTAATATGACCTCACACAACAGGATGTACATCTGAAAATCTTTTTTGTTGTTCAGTCACACAGTCGAGTCCGACTCTTCGCAACCCCATGGACCAGATCATGCCAGGCCTTCCTGTCTTCCGCCGTCCTCTGAAGTTGGCTCAATTTCATGTTCGTTGCATCTATGACACTGTCTAACCATCTCATCCTTTGCCGTCCCCGTCTTCTTTGACCTTCAATCTTTCCCAGCATCAGGGTCTTCTCCAGTGAGTGCTCCCTTCTCATTTGGTGGCCAAAGTATTTGAGCTTCAGTTTCATTAACTGGCCTTCCAGGGAACAGTCAGGGTTGATTTCTTTTAGGATTGACTGATTTGATCTTCTTGCAGTCCAAGGGACTCTCAAGAGTCTTCTCCAGCACCATAGTTCAAAAGAATCTATTCTTTGGTGCTCGGCCTTCCTTATAGTCCGACTCTTGCAGCCATACATGACTACTGGGAATACCATTACTTTAACCATGCGGACTTTTGTTGGCAGGGTGATGTCTCTACTTTTTATCATGCTGTTTAGGTTCAGTTTCAATTTAAATAGACAATAGACAAATCTGCATACATCTTTCCCTGCAGTCCAGTTGCTTCTGCTTTACTAGAAGAAAGTAAAATCCCTTGAATGTCTGAGCTGTAAACCAAAAGCAAAGTTCACTATTCATAAACCATTTTCTTTTCCCTTACCGCTTCCAAGCCAGTGCTGTTATCTCTGATGTCATCTGGGAGTAGTATAAACATGCTGAGGTCTTTATTGACATACGGGAGCTCAAGAATATGAGTCTGGACATCTGCTATGTAGTTCCAATTAAATTTCCCCTTCTGGAACATCATCTTCACTTTTTTACTTCTGCTCTGTAAGATGACAAACGTACCATTTTGTATTATGAATATTAAATCTCGAAGAAAACAAAATACTATGTTGTGCATGCACATAGGAATAGGGACCTTGTTTATATTATTCTTAGCAAAACAATCCATTCTGTAGCATCACAGGCCTACGGAATGACTACGGTGGCTCGGAAGGCTCTGACTGCCATTGGTTAGTTCATTATTATGTGGTTCTGTACCTTGTTCATTCTGAAAGGCTGTTCCGTTGTGGCTTCCTTCTTAAATGTCTTTGACCAGTTTCCTTTGAAGTATAGTGCATTCACCATGATGAGTTGGGTAAGTGAATCTATGGATCCCTCCTTCAACAGATTCTGTATTTTACCTTTTAAGGGAGAGGGGAAAGTTGTCGTCATGTTTCTGCAGCTGCTTTTCATTTCATTTATTTAAAAAAATCGGTTTAGGGATGATCAGTTCTGACAAATATGCTCTCAGTTGTAAGAACTCTGTGGTCTTGTCCAGTCTGTCTCACATGTCTTTCCCCAACAGACCTTCTTTCTTTGAACTTAGTCCCCTCAGCTATCCAAAGGTCTCCTTTTCCCTGGCCAAAAAGCCATCTCTATCCATGAACATCAGCATAGTCTCTCCTTATTTTGATTTTTCTCCTCAAAACTGGTAAATATGCATGGGGTTTTTACCTGGGGGAACGCGACAGAACAGAGTTCTGGAACCTCTTTGACAAAATTCTTTTAAAAATGTTTTAAAATCCATGAGTTTTCAGCAGGGCTTTTTTTTTTTAGAAAAAGCCCAGCAGGAACTCATGAGCATAATTGGCCACACCCAACAGCAGAAACATATTATCTTATTAGGCCACACCCCTGACAGCACAGGTCATTAGCATATGAGGCCACACCCCCATGTTACCAGAAGTGTGGTCATCCAGCCACACCCACCTTTTGCTTCTTATTCTTGTTTACCTTGTTGTCAAAACCCAGGGCTTTTTTGTAGCAGGAACTCCTTTGCATGTTAGGCCACACACCCCTAATGTAGCCAATCCTAATGAGTTTCTGCTGTTGGGTGTGGCCTATTATGCTAATGAGTTCCTGCTGGGCGTGGCCAACTCGGGAGCCAGCCGGAACTCCGTTCCTGTGTGTTCCTGCCCAAAAATAGCCCTGGTTTTCAGTATACAGATTGAAAACTTAATTCCCCTCTTCAGAGTTGGCGCCCCTTTTTTTTTTTTTTTTTTTAAGGCCCCATAAATATGCTATCAATATAATATTTTGGATCCATACATGAAGCCTACCAAAAGAAAGAATGGTTTAGAAACAAAAGTATATAAGGAGAGCCCTGCTGAATCAGACCAGTGGTCCATCTAGTCCTTTCTGTCTCACATAGTGGCCAACCAGTTATCCTGGAATGCCAACAATAGGGCATAGAGGCCAAGGCCTTCTCCTGATGTTGCCTCCTGGCTCTGGGATTCAGAGGTTTACTGCCTCTGAATGAGGAGTTGCCTTTAGGCACCATGGCTAGTAACCATAAATCTGTCTAATCCCCTTTTAAAGCCATCTATGCCTGTGGCCATCACAACATCCTCTAGCAGTGAATTCCACACTTCAGGCCCATTCTGCATCTAGCATTTGCTCTGCTGTTGTACCAACCCCAGGCTGTAACAGAAATTCCCCTCTGCATCGCAGGCCACTTTCACTTTCTTTGATTGTCGGATTTTATGGTAGCCTCCACACTGCATGCCAGTTTCACTTCCGTTGTTCTCTCGGTTTTATGGAACTGTCTGCATAGACTTATGACTGTTTTATGGCCGGCCGTTCAGGGGCGACTCTGCGGTCAGTACAGCACTGGCCCGGGGTATCTGCATGTGGTTTTGAGCTGCATCTTTTTCTGTTCCAGTGTGGGTTTGGTAAAACAACACAGCGGATGCTAGATGCAGAATGGGCGTCAATCACTCACTGTGTCAAGTCGTATTTCCTTTTGCCCGTCTTGAATCTACTACCCATCAACTTCACTGGATGCCCCCATGTTCTAGTATTTTGGGAGAGGGAGAAAAAGTTCTCTCTGTCCAGTCTCTCTACCCCATGCATAATATTATGAACCTCTATCATATGTGTCGTCCCCCCCCAGTCCTCACTTTTCTAAACTGAAAAGTCCAAGATTCTTCAGCCCTTCCTCACAGGAAAGCTGCTCCACCCTTTAATCATCTTGGTTGCCTTCTTCTGTGCTTAAAACACGAACAGCAAATTAAAAAAAATCTTGTGCAGCAGTCTCCAAAGGCCTTCAAGTAGGCTTGCCAAGTCCCCCCGGGGGGTGGGGAAACCCCTGCCCCAGAGGGCCATTCTCCGTCGCCGGCAGATCGGGCCCCGGGGGGAACTCCACCCCGACGTGCACGTCACCCGGAAGTGATGCGACCACGCCGGGCACGCTGGGGGCAGGGCCACGGTCATCCAAGGGAAAACTCTATGGTTTTCCCTCGGATGGTCGTGGCCCCGCCCCAGTGTGCCCGGCGTGCCCGCGTCACTTCTGGTTGATGTGGACGCGGCGCACATGCTCCAGCCGCCAGCCGGGAGTCCCCCGCTGCGGCTCAATTCACACTTGGCAACCCTACCTTCAAGGCTATTGGTCGTGTTGCCGGTAAAGGCCAATCATATTTGTTGCTTTATAATCCAATAGCTGTACTGTAAGTAGCCACTTTGTATATGTTTCATGCAAATGAATTAGCCTAAGTGCCTACTTTGTATTGGTTGTTGTTAAAGGTGGGTGTGGTGTCCACAAGTATAAATTGGCTCCTGTTGAGCCGGTGAGTTCAGGCTGGTTCAGTTCGATAAAGAAGGATGTTATTATGAAAAGAGCTGCCTCTTCTCCATACTTAATAACACCCATGTTTTAAAAGGCGTGAAGAAGAGACTAGAGAAGGAGGGTTATTTAACATAGCAGAGGAACCAATTTGAGCTCACCTTCTGTCTGCTGTTCCACCCAGGAATTAATTTCTTTTCTGACCTCATCTGAAGCTGTCTGAAAATCCACTGTTTGCGGTTCCATGTTATAATACTTCTTGGCTGATTGTAAGAATTCCTTAAAGGAGAAATGAATGAAATTGTTAAACTAGTACCATTTCATGCTACAATTGGCTCTTATAAGGAATATATATGCCTGGACCTGAACATTTTCCTGAAAGAGGCTATTGTAGCTTTGGAGAAGAATGTTAAATTGTGGAATAGGCATTAGAGGATGGGTTAAATACAGGGCTATTTTTGGGCAGGAACGCACAGGAACGGAGTTCCAGCTGGCTCCTGAGTTGGCCACGCCCAGCAGGAACTCATTAGCATAATAGGCCACACCTAACAGCAGAAACACATTAGAACTGGCTACTTTAGTGGGCTTTTTCTACAAAAAAGGCCCTGGTTAAATACCCACTCTTTCTTGAACTTCAAAGAAGCAATCCATGGCTGCACATTAGCATGTAACACTCCCCTCCCAAACACCGATAGATGGGTCTTTTGTGTCCAGTCTGGCTGGCTCTAAGCAGCTCAGCAGACTGTTCTGTTCTCTAAGAGCCTCTCCCATTATCTGCTCACCTCCAGACCATGTCTAAAACATACAATGAATGAATGAACGGAAGGGGTTTGAGTACCAACACTTGCTTCGTGCTCATGATTGGTGGGAGCTATTTCATGCCAGTACTTGGGCTGATGAAGTTACATACTTGGAGATATGAGCCCCATTCCTGACAAACACCCATACTATTTTTTAGGCTGGTTGGGCTAACCCTTAAGACAACATGGCTTCATTGCACTAGAGGTCAAAGGCAACAGGAAGCAGAATTCCAACACTGTTATCCAATCCATTCCATGTATTCCTAGCAAACTCATAGAACTCGTTCTGCAAATGGATTTGGCTTGCATTTTCAGGAATGAAACTAAATCTCCACTTACATTTCTGAAAGACATTGATCTGTCACCATATAGTCGATTGATGCTTCTTAGCAGGATGTTTTTAGAAGGCTGGCTGATTTCTTGGCTAAGCTCCTGGAATTCCGAATGGATATCGAGCGGTGCCTTAAAAAAATGCAGTGTTTATTGAAACTCGCATGTAATCATAAGCGATGGTCGTGTCTGTCCCATCACTCTTTATTGCATTTTGTTTTATCCTCTGTTTTCTCTTATTTCCCCTTCTTAGTTTATGTACTCATCCTTTTGTAGTCAACAAGTACAAGGTCAAGCCACGACCAACCAGGCTTTATAGCTCCACACAAATAGAGGTATTGGTGAGAAAAACCTCTTAGCCTGCCATTTCCAGCATTCAATTTTATTACGGTCATAGACCAGTATAATAGAAGACAAGTAAGTACAGTTAAGGGAGCAGTAAAATTATAAAATATAATGGCATCTAAAATTGTAAATAAGGATCTAAAAACTTTAAAATACAGAAATAATAGAATCAAAATTATGATCAAAGGTTAGGTTTAGGCCTATCTGTACTTTATCTCTTTCCTAGTTTGGTATGCCAACCAACCAACCAAATTTGGCAACCATCCTAGTCAGCTTTTGATTATCTCCTGCCAGCATAATTGACAAAAGTATCCTTCTATTATGACCTGGAAAGGAGTTAACTATAGGCTTGATCAAACCTTCCCTGATATTATGATATAGAAGGCAATTGAAAATTACATGTTCCAATGTTTCATCAGGTCCCATCCCACATATACAACTTTTCCTCAATGATCTAGTAAATCTGGCCTCCATTATAGCTGAGGGTAAGGCATTGTATCTTAAAACCAGAAGTTTCTGCAACCTGATTTGATGGATTTCTCCAGCCAGAGGGAAGAGGCTCTAACAACTAGAGTGGTTGCTATGGCAGTTACTCCTGTAGGAAGGAATTCACCTTCAGCAGTTCAAACACATGAGGGCCTGAATCTCGACAATTCCGTAGAGGATGATTTGACAAACTCTTACTCAAATTTACCAACAGAGGACCAAGCTGTGATTGTTAACTAGCAACCTTAGACCAACCATATACACTTTTGCAACTGAAAACCAAACAGGGACAATGCATCACACAACAGCACAAGAACTGTCTTCTCTGAGCTTCTTCGTCCAGCATGCCGTTTCTACATGAAGCTTTTACGTTAAAACGTCAGTAGAAAAACTGTGTGTAGATTAGGGCACATGCTAGTCTTGTTCTTTGGAAAATGCAGATGTAATGTGAGAAAGTCATATTAAAAACTGAGAATAAGAGACCAATACCAACTTCTCCAAAACTGCTTTAAAACTAGGCAAGCTTGTATTCATCTTAGGGACATTCAATTTTATTGAAGATACCTTCTGGGTGGAGATGCAGGGGTTATGCAGAAGCTCCTCCATTTTGGAATATGCACGTCGTGTTATTGCCCTAGTGGCTCCTGTTCTTCCAACTTTGTTAAAATGGAACACCTGCGGTAGGAATTGATACAATGAAATGCATTAGGGCTTATCAAGTCAACTGGTCCTACAGCTCATAAAAATGGTGGTAACCTTAAAATAGATTCCACATGCTACTTCAGTAATGGCTTCTGTTAATAATAACAACTAAGCGCGATCAAGTCGCAACCAGTTTATGGCAACACCTTCAAGGGATTTTTAAGGTCAGAGATGAACAGAGGTAGTTTGCTGTTGCTCTCCTATGGATAACAACCCTGATCTTTCCTGGTCACCTGGCCAGGTACTAACCATGGTCAGCCCTGCTTAGCAGCCAAGCTCTGATGAGTTCAGGCAAGTCTACGGTATTTAGGCTGCCAAAGGTTCTGTTACTATGGCTACATAAGGAAAGGGGAATCCAGTACATTTCAGTGTTCTGTCAATAAGTTTCTGGCTTAGCCATTGGTGCCAGAATTCCACTTCAGCACAGGGAATGTTCAAAATGGCTGTAACTCCCGCCTTTTCCTGGAAAACAAGAGACTAGCCCAACCATGCTAGAACAGAGGTAGGTGTCTAAACACCTAGATATGAAGAATCATCCTCACCAGTGTTCCCTCTAAGCTGAGTTAGTGTGAGCTAGCTCACAGTTTTTTAGCCTCCAGCTCACACATTTTTGTCTTTACTCAGGAAGGATGACTCCAAAGCAAACTACTGTATGCAGTAGCCAAAACACTCACTCACAACTTTAATGCCAGTAGCTCACAAAGTAGAATTTTTGCTCACAAGACTCCACAGCTTAGAGGGAACATTGATACTCACCCAACCTCATACTATTTTCCCCCTTTTGTCTGCTACTGATTTGCTTGATGACATTAGGTTCCTTAATTGCTATGGCTCCATGCCAGAATAAGGTCACATCCATCTTTCTATAAACCTTTGTAGGGCCTGCTCCTTACCTTTGTAAACTGATTACAGCGTTTCAGAAGGAGAGGATTCTATATAGGCCTGGAAACCAAAAGAGCTCAAGAATGTACCCAGAAGGGCTTTTGGCTTTTTTGAGTGACAGCCACCTCCCCCCCACCATACCACATCAGTGGCTTTTGAATTCCCCCCATTCCAATAAAGGTTTGCCATTGTAGTGAAGAAGGGAAAGGTTGGTTAGAGATATGCTGCTGTTTGACAGACACAGTCCCAAAGCCCCATTAGAGGTGTAGAACTAATTATACAGTAACTTTGGACTGAGGTATATAATTCAGTCGCATGCATAGCTTTAAAATGTATCTCATGCAAATACCACGCCTGTTTTCAAAGTGGGAAGAAAAATGCATCAGAATAAAAGCGGGTGTGGACATTTCAAACACCATTGCACTGTTTCAAGTATGAGAAGGAGGAGGGACACAAAACGTTGCAATGGGACACATGAAACGAGGATTCTTGCTTAGAAGTCCTCGTCAGCCAGGTCTCTTCCTCTTCCCTGGCCTGCCTGTCGAGTGCCAACGCAAAAGATTTCTATGCTTTTCTACACGGGACAGAGATATTATGTTCTAGGCTTCGGGCTTAGCAGCACACAAACCTATCTGCTTAATGGAAAAAAAATTAAAAATTGCATAATGAGAAAACGGAGAAAACTTGGGAAGGAAGAAATATGATTCAGACCCATGTCTTTATCATAAAAAAGGACATTTTTAGCACTTTTTCTTTTGGATTCAGCTCTCTGTCCACCTTTTCTTGGCAGATGCATTCCAAATGATGATCCAGAGCATATAAGTGTGCTGCGACAGACCTGGGTTGTATCTTGAAATGCTCAAGACAGCATCCAAATCTCTATACCTATCGGAGCAGGAAATCCCCTATAGTGGGGGGGGGGGGGATTTGGAAAAAGAAGTGCCAGAACTCTAAAGAGGGAAATGAAGTTTTCAATCTGTATACCGAACACTCATTAACTTTTAAAGATTTTAAAAAGAGTTTTGTTGAAGAGGTTCCGGAACTCCATTCTGGCATGTCCCCCCAGAAAAAATCCCTGCCCTATAGCATATAACTTCCCACTGTCCCATCCTCTAGGCCTGATTGACTCTGCAAAAGGGAGGGCAGAAGAGAAAGAAGCCATCTTAACTGGACTACTCCATAACCGCAAAGAAAATGCCTGCCCAGGGTTGATTGAGCAAACAGGTACACCTCTTTAAGAGTCACGCACCACTTGCCTCTAATGGGGTGGGAGTTATGACATGTGCTTCACTCTCGGGAACTGAAAAACACTAGGAACTAGGTCTTTAAGGTGCCACCGGACTCAGACTTCTACTGCTTCAGACCAACACGGCTACCCACCTGAATCAATTTTGTATACAGACTCTCTTACAGGTAGCAAAGGGTATCAGAAGAAGAAGAAGAAGAGATTGGATTTATACCCCGTCCTTCACTACCCAAAGGAGTCTCAGAGCGGCTTGCAAACTCCTTCCCCTTCCCCTCCCCCAACAGACACCCTGTGAGGTAGGTGGGGCTGAGAGAACTCTTGACAGAAACTGCTCTTTTTCAAGAACAGCTCTTATCAGAACTACGGCTTGCCCAAGGTCTTCCAGCCAGGTGCAAGTGGAGGAGTGGGGGATCAAACCCGGTTCTCCCAGATTAGAGTCCGCGCACTTAACCACTACACCAAACTGGCTATCAGCGATTGTTACGCACCACAGTGTGAGCAATTTCGCAAAGCATCGAAGTTCCAATTTACCTCTGCTATCTGCTCTGCAGTGCAGCCTTTGGCCCCAAGATACACAGCCGCCATAATAGAAGAGATGCTCCAAGGTGAAAATAAGATGTTGTCGTCATGATGAATCTGGCACATGTACTGAAAAAGGTCAAGGGCGAACTCGGTGTTTGCCATGCTCAGAGTCTCCATTATCTTTCAGAGCTAGTAGAGAGACAAAGAAATGTCAGACCTGACTGTTCATTTGTTATAAGTGCATTGGTGACTGGTGTTCCGGCCTTTCTCCGGTCAAAGACGCTCAGGAAATTTCAGATACAGGCAGATAGCCCCAAACTCTCTGGGATAATCCATCACTTGAACAACAGAAATTGTCTGTTCTCTTTCTTGTATTCGTGTCTTGCCATTAGAGATTACCAATGTGGTTTAAATTTTCTTCCTGCCCAAAAGCCCTTCGTCATGTCCCACTGACTCTCGACTGGGATGTTTTCAGCCCCAAAGAGATATCTACTGTTTTGGAGAGGCTGGCATTTAACTAGCACATGTGTCATCTGTTTTTAACTTGCCCAATGAAAACAGGGTGCTCTTGCACATGAGTAGAGAGGTCTTTGGAGGTAAACATTGTTCTTAGACCCATGTGCAAGAATGTCTATTGTGCAAGCCCAGAGCTGATGGCATCCGAACCAGCTAAGGACAGGATTGCACAAATGATTGTTCCTTCATTATATGAAAAGGCATGAATAGCCAAGCAGATAATATTTTCCCAGGCAATATAATATCTCTCTTTCCCAAATTTTTGATACCTAGTGCACATGTTGTCTTCCTCGATTTTCTGCTTCCTAATAAACTGTCAAGATATAAACGATGGCAAGTAACAGCAAAACAGGAACAAAGAGCCACAATAGAAAGTCTCATTCCAATTTCTTTACAAGACAATACTGTTCAGTTTCTTTATGGGCCAGGTCTCCTAAGCTTGAAAGTGCACCTCTCAAGGTTGCTACTATGTAGAACAGGACCAAAAATGCATTGGAGGAGCTGCGGTGGCTGAAGTGGTTGAGACGCTGAACTGCATGCTGTGGAAGGTCGGTAGTTCAGCAGTTCGAGACCCGAGTGTGCCGCATGACGGAGTGAGCTCCCATCTCTAGTTCCAGCTCCTGCCAGCCTAGCAGCTCGAAAGCGAGAAATTGCAAGTAGATAAATAGGTACCACTTCGGTGGGAAGGTAACAGCGTTCCGTGCACCTCGGTGTTTAGTCATGCCGGCCACATGACCACGGAAACGGCTTTGAAATGGAGATGAGCACCGCAACCCTAGAGTCGGATTCGACGGGCTTTCGAGCAAGGGAACCTTTACCTTTACCTCTACATAGTAGCAACCTTGAGAGGTGCACTTTCAAGCTAAGGAAGGACCAGAAGTCTGAAACGCTGCATACTACCTAGGAAAAGTGTTGGATATCTACTTTGGACTTGATGCATTCTGTAGACTTCTATATTTCCTATGATGGATTTTATGTACAGATTTATTGCGGATTACATGTGTGTTTCACTTTGCTGAAGTCTCTTTTTGTATATTTACTCTTGCGGGTATTTCGGCACAAGTTGTTTTGCTGTTACTTGCCATTTTGCATTGTGTGCTGCATTGTTTTGATTGTGTGCTGCATTGTTTTGTTATTTGAAGATATAAACTATGCCCCAACATGGCTGACCTGGGCTAGTCCAGTCTCATCAGACCTTGGAAGTTAAGCAGGTTCAGCCCTGGTTAGTCCTTGGATGGGAGACCTCCAAAGAAATCCAGGGTTGCAAGGCAGAGGCAGGCAAGGGCGAACCACCTCTGAACATCTCTTGCCTTGAAAACCTTTCAGGATTGCCACACATTGGCTGTGACTTGACAGCACTTTCCTCCAATAAACTATTTTTTAAAATTTATTTATTTATTTATTTCAGTGAACTTGTATCCTGCCCTCCCTACATTGTAGGCTCCGGGCAGGTACCAACATCTAGATCTGCCATTTGTGCAGATTTATAATTAAAACATAACATAGGCCCCGGTCACACGGGCCAGATATCGCGGGGGGGCGTGGCTAAATGCCCCGGAGGAAACTAACCCGTGGCTGCCCGAGCACACGTCCCAGTGGAGGTCCCGTGGTTCGGGGAAAATGCTGATCAGATGGGTATCCTGCAGAAGCCATGCCGCGCGATCACACTGGCAATCGCTCTTTATGCGCATGCGCTGTTGGGCGCTGTTGCGCAACCTGTGGAGACGAACAGCGGCGGGCACCGGATGCCACGTAAGCCCACCGGGAATGCGATCAGACCCCCCGCCCTTGGCCCGCGGTTTCAGGAAACTAGTCCCTCATAGGTACTACTTTTTAACTCCGCACCTTCGGCGGG